TTTGTCCTTTTGTGACTGAGATATTTCGCTCAGCATAATGTCCTCCAGGGTCACCCATTTTGTATAATATTTCATGAGTTCCTTGTTTTTCAATGCAGTGTAGTATTCTATTGTGTGAATATACATTAGCTACTTGCTTTTTCTCAGGAAGACTCCGGGATTTGAAGCCTGCAGAGGAGGCAGTAAGATGCCAAATTTACTCACCTAAGTAAGGGTTCAGTAGAATTACATACAATCAAGTTAAAAAACAAGAACAATCCTATGCTTTAAAACATTATGGAAGCCAAAAAAGATATTACAATGTTAGGAAAGCAGCATTTTTTAAAAGTCAGCTAAACCATACGCTCATCATACTCACAGAATCCTTATATACCATACACTCCATCAGAATCTGAAAGAGGTGCTTGGACTGTTTGAGACTGAAGTTAAAAGTGTTCTGAATCATGCAGATGATCTCCTCTTTCACCTGAGGACGTAGAGTCCTAGGAGACAGAAAGAAGTCATGACTGAACACAATTGAGAGAATACAAGCCAGGCATATCAGTCCAAGAAAAGCCACCGAGTGCCCCCAAATTAGACGCTATCTGTGGTCAGTTCAGCCAAGAGAACAAGTGAGCACCAAGCAGAAACCTCAGCACTGGTTGATACAGGTGTTGTTGTTGTTGTTGTTGTTGTTGTTAAGTGCTGTCGAGTCATAGATAACTCATAGGAACCCTATGAAAGACCTGAGCACTTGTACAACTTTCATCATTTCTCCAGGTTCATAGAGTTTCCAGAGGCAAGTTATTTCAGAAGTGGATGCCACTCCTGCTTCCAAGCCTGTTTTAATCTAGGAGCTTCACCAAACACATTCCACCATGGGTAACCATTATCACATTTGATACATCAGTGTCACAGCTCAGCACTGGTGGAGGCTGTATTTCAAAGTGAGAAATAAATTATCTTAAAAAAAAAAGGGGGCATAGGTCTTTCTTTTCCAAATTGTAAAAGAATATGTAGCATAGCACTGATAATTCAAAACTTTTAACATGCACAATTCAGTGACACCAATTACATTAATCAGATTGTGAAATCAGTGTCATCAAATTTTAAAGCTTCATGAACACAAACACAAGGCTTCCTAAATGATGGTTCCCCTTTCTCCCTTTCTCCAGCCCTTGTTGTTGTCATTAGATGACACTGCGTAGGCTCTGCCTCATAGTGACCCCACACACAACAGAGCAAAACATCACCTGCCTCTGTGCCTTCCTCCCAATCCCTTCTCTGATTAGCCTATTTGTTATAGCCACTATGTCAGTTCATCCCCTTGGGGGCTCTCCTCTTTTTCATTGATCTTCTACTTTACCAAGTATAATGTCCTTCTCCAGGAACTCATCCCCCTCAATAACATACTCAAAGTGTGTGAGAAGAAGTCACACCATCCCCATTCCTAAGAAGCACTTAGGCTGCACTTTTTCCAAGACAGATTTGTATATTCTTTCAGAAGTCCATTTATATCAACCTCAGAATTCAAAACTTCAATTCTTCTTAATCCTCTTTATTCATTGTCTAATTTTCACCTGCCTGTGAGTTGACTGAAAACACTGCATCTTAGGTCAAAAGCAGCCTAGTTCTCAAAATGACACCTTTACTCTTTAGCACTTTAAAGGGGTCCTTTCCTAAAGATTTGCCCAATACAACATGTCATTTGATTTCTTGACTGTTGCTTTTAAGGGTGTTGACTGTGGATCCTAACAAAATGAAATCCTCTACAACTTGAATCTTTGCTCAATATACCATGGCTTGTTTACTGGTTCAGTTGTGAAAGTAATTGTCTTCTTTATATTAAGGTAGGGAGCTCTGGTGGCAAGTGGATAAGGAGTTGTGCTGCCAACCCAGGACCAGATAGTTAAAATCCACCAGCTGCTACTAGGAAGAAAGATGAGCATTCTCCTCTGGTGATAAGCATAACCTCTGAAAACTCCCTGGAGGCTCAGCTTTGAGTCATTTCCAACTCAAAAGCAACACTAAGCAAGTTATATTGAGGTATAATTCGTATACCTAAAGCTACAGACTTTATACTTCAGCATTAAGTGCTTCAAGGCTTCCCTGGTTTTGGCAAGCAAGGTTGTACCACCTGCATATTGTAAGTTAAGTTATTAATGAGTTTTCCTCTAATCTTAATGTCATGTTCTTCTTCATATGGTCCAGTGCAATGCAGCCTCCATTATATTTATACATATACACACATATATATACACCCATATATACACACATATATATATGTTAGTTGTTGTTGTTGTTATGTGCCGTCGAGTCGCTTGCGACTCATAC